AGTAGTAGGCATAACAATAGATGCCTACATGCAGTTGGCCTCTATGTGTAACTATACAGCTTTATTGTTGTGAATAATAGAAGAAAGCAAACAGTAAAATGGTGAATAACATCATCCAAGGCTGTTGGAAAAGAGGACTCTTGACTCTCCTGGGCTCCGCGCCATGCTGAATTAAACTGGGAAACGGTGTACCTTATACACTCTATGAGAACATTAACAAAGCACGTAGGTGTGGTCAAGGCTGCAAGACATTCTACAGTGAAAAAAAGAAATGTTCAGCCCAGTGTTTTCAGCCCTACATGTTCCTAGGAGCCCATCTGTTCTATATAATACATATTGGGAAGTTCTTCACAGGAACTCCTATGAAAGGCAGAGTGCAATGGTAAACAACAGGACACTGGACCATGCAACACTTACTATTCTGCGGGCTTACATCACTGACCTGGGAAACGTGAGTGCTGGCCTGCAGATGGGACCCCGTGAGAAGCACGTGTGTAGTGGGCAGCTCCTCCACAGTGGAGCGCCTCCGCCAGAGGGGTCGGAGGCTCCAGAGGGCTCTAGCGTGCTTTCCTAACTTAACTTACAATTATACCACTAAAGGATCCATAAGACCATCTTTGGCTCCAAAAAAACATTAGCCCGTTTCTACAGTTTTACAAAATACATTAGTTTAGACATTTTTCCTTATAATCGCATATGCACTTATTTGTAGCAAAATGCAAATATATGAAAAAAAGTATGATTACGTGACAGAAATGACACACATGGGCTAAGGTTAGTAATATGGAGATATGAGTGAATATTTCACTTACCCAGGAAATATTTATTGGTACGGAAGGACTTATCAATATTTTAAAAAGTTCCATTTCATATCTAAATTTGAAAACATTAAACGTTCAAGAACAGCAGCAGGACCCTCTGGCAACACGTATGAATATGATCACAGATTCTTCTAAGATGATTATATGTTCAAAAGGTCCCTGCTGGACGTAAAAGGAGGAGAGTGAAAGCCTACTTCTTCGGGGAGGACAGAGAGAAAAAGGGAGAAGTGGATACAACACAGATTGCACTACTGTGTTCTACCACAAACAGCCCTATTGTCTGTCTGCGCCTTCTAGGTTTTTTAAAAAATAAATATGTATTATAATTGGAACTAATTTTCATTTTTATGTCACAGATAATGCTGTCAAACATAATGTAGTTACTCAAGATAAAAGTTATAGTACTGTGAATTTCTTCTGTATCTTCTCAAAATTGTTCACATCTCAATATATTTTAGAGCAATTCTTACATGTTTAAATTACCATACAAAAGGGAGCTCAGAAAAAAACTTGGAAATAACTTATTTCTTCACTTGTATAATCATGTGCTGGTATTTGTATGAATGTGCAGTTGCTAAATCTATTTACAGGAAAAGTCCTGCATTTCTCCATGTTTTCTCTTCTTCAGTCTAGACAAGTCCAAATGACTGCCTAAACCTCCAGAATTCCTGAGTTCAAATCATGATCTTTAACCTACTGAAATTATTATTCCTGATAACACCATAGCATATCTTTACTTATCTTGACATGACAGAATATTGCTTAATTAAAATGCAAAGGAGGTTTAATTAAACACAAAGGAAGGGAATGACATTTTTAGAGAAAAAAAAATCCATTTTGTAATGTGTGAAACATCTTGAATTCTCCCCCTTTTGAAATTAATATCTAGTTCAGTCATTTAAATATTATAGGTATGTGAACTCAGCAAAATATTCAAAAAAAGGGGATACAGATGAATGACCATTTTGTATCTGTGTATTCAGAATTGTTAAGATAGATATCTAGCTACATTCTCTTAATTCAATGAATAGAGGGATTTGTTCTAATAGTGTTTGTAAACAGGATATCATGTTTGCATCTTGTACAACAAATAACCACTAGGAATATAGTATGCAATGTGTTAATTATTGAAACTGTCCTACCAATTTGATTTGAAACTGTCTCATTGCTATTTGTTTCTCAATAAAATTATGGAAAAAAATAAAACATTTTATCATTAAAAAAGAAAATATCTTC